CTTTAGGGTTTAGGGTTTGTTGCTGCAGCTGGTGGAAATATGCGTGAAGAACAACGGCTTAGACTTCGCGCGGCATATGGACGAACACTTCTTGCGGTCTATGGCCAAAGTCCTCAAGATTGTGAGCAAACCCTAAACCCTAAACCCTAAACCCTAAACCCTAAACCCTAAACCCTTGACAAGTGCGGAGCCCCAAGCCCTCAGCCCTAAACCCTAAACCCTAGCTGTTAAGGCTGGGTGTCGGAGCTGCGCCCGCTCTGGTCTCGTGGACCCCAGATTCCAAACCCTAAACCCTAAACCCTAAACCCTAGGTCTTCAAGAAACCCTAAACCCTAAACCCTTTGCGACATGCGCTTTCGCAGACAACCTTCAAGCGGTCGCTCACGAAGGACGTGAAGGACAAAATAAACAAAATCATTGGAGGGTAGGAGCTGGCCTAGGGTTTAGGGTTTAGGGTTTAGGGTTTAGGGTTTACTGGTCGTGGTCATGCGGTGCTGCTGCAGGCCCTTCGTCCACCCTGGCGTAGCCACTGACCCGAGGATCCACGTGAGTTTATTCAGGTCTAGGGTTTAGGGTTTAGGGTTTAGGGTCAGGGTTTAGGGCTAGGGTTTAGGGTTTAGGGTTTAGGGTTTAGGGTTTAGGGTTTGTGGCTTGCTTGCTCTGCGTGCAGAAGCTAAAGCGCAAGGTCCTCTTCATGTTCCAGCTGTGGCATGGTGAGCCTTGAGTCTCCAGCAATTAGGGTTTAGGGTTTAGGGTTTAGGGTTTAGGGTTTAGGGTTTGTGGGGGCTTGTCTTTGCTGCAGATGCCTTCGTGCTGCAACAAGAAAGATGCCCAGCGATTTTCGCCATGTACAGGAAGCTCAGAAGCAAAGGTGAGGTTTAGGGTTTAGGGTTTAGGGTTTAGAGTTTGGGGTTTAGGGTTTAGGGTTTAGGGTTTAGGGTTTAGGGTTTGGGCGTCTGCGTGCAGGCGTGGAGTTCCCTCAAGTCGACCGCTCGCACAAGTTCTTCGTGAAGAACGCGGAGGTAAACCCTAAACCCTAAACCCCAAACCCTAAACCCTAAACCCTAAACCCTAGAAGTGGCGTTTTCAGCAGCTACTAACTTCTTTTAATGAATTTAATTCTTCAAATTTTATTTTATTTCTTTTATTTCTTTTCAGGAATCTCCTGCTTTCAATTTGCCCCCGGGGGGCCCCCAGGGGGCCCCCGGGGGCCCCCAGGGGGCCCCCGGGGGCCCCCCGCCTCCGCCTGCGGAGGCCCCTGAACCCATTGAGCAGCTTGTGAGTTTATTCCCTTCTTTTTAGGGTTTAGGGTTTAGGGTTTAGGGTTTGGAGGCTCGCTTGTTAATTATTTATTTTAAATTTCCTTTTATTTTATTATTTATTTATTATTTCTTTTTCTTTTATTACCTCCCTTTTGCTTCTCTTCCCGCTTCCTCCCCCACCTCCTGCTGCTGCTGCTGCTGCTGCTGCTGCTGCTGCTGCTGCTGCTGCTGCTGCTGCTGCTGCAGGTGAGTCGCATCCGTCGCGCCTTGTCAGTGGCTGCCTCCCCGGGGGCCCCCCTGCTGCAGCGCGAGGAGGCCCTTAGGGTACTAAGGGGGGCCCGGGGGCCCCTCGGCCTTTGGTTGGACTCTTTGTCCAAAACTGACAAAGACCTGCAGCAAAACATGGCGGCTGTTGCAGCAGGACTTGAGTTGGCCGACGAGGTTGACAGGCAGCTCGCCAAGTCCCAGGGGGGCCCCCCGGGGGGCCCCCCGGGGGGCCCCCCGGGGGGGCCCCTGGGGGGCCCCCAGGGGGGCCCCCAGGCGGGCTCCCCGGGGGGCCCCCTGGGGGGGCCCCTGGGGGGCCCCCTGGTGGGGCCCCTGGGGGGCCCCCTGGGGGGGCCCCTGGGGGGGCCCCTGGGGGGCCCCCTGGGGGGGCCCCTGGGGGGGGCCTC